AGCATTCCCGGCTTTAGTTGTTTGTTTCCTGATGATTGATTGTTCAAGAAACTCTGAGTAGCAACAGAAAGAACGTGTACTTGGTGAGGACTATACTGGATTGTGTATATATATATATATAGATATACTCAATCTGCGGACAGCATGCTGTTTCGTTCTTTTTGAACTCATCAGCGCAGCACATATATATATATATATAAGATGACGACTACACCATAGCTCAGTGGTTAGAGCATCGCTGGCTACAAGCGAGGGTCCCTGGTTCGAGTCCTGGTGGTGACAGTCAATTTTTTCTTCAGACTTTTCCCGTTTGTCTATTTCCCTCAAACCAGTTGATATGTATATATATTATATATATAAGAACGAAAACGAAGCCAGAATTTATACTGGGGGTAGAGAATCAGCAAGAATATTCTTACGCGCCTCAAGTTCACACTACACTACCATAAGAATGTATGGAGCAGTGGAAAAATGCGGGAAACAACACATGAGGGGAATGCAGTACCAGAACAAACACGTGATAAAGTTGTCAGTCCGGTTGCAGCTTGAACAGCCGCAGCACCTTGATGTGCTTCTTTTTTCGACACAGCTCTGGCCTCAAACTGCGAATGTACAGCGCCTCCAGTGTGAATCTGTGCGCGCTGTTCCGGGCTGGTGTGATGGCGCTGTACATTCGCAGTTTGAGGCCAGAGCTGTGTCGACAAAAGAAGCACATCAAGGTGCTGCGGCAGTTCAAGCTGCAACCGGACTGACAACTTTATCACGTGTTTGTTCTGGTACTGCATTCCCTTCATGTGTTGTTTCCCGCATTTTTCCACTGCTCCATACATTCTTATGGTAGTGTAGTGTGAACTTGAGGCGCGTAAGAATATATATAAGAATATATAAGAAAAGGGTTACAAATCTTACAAATCTTACAAATCATCGCCGAGGTCGCAACCACTACTTCGTGTTATATATATATATATATATATATATATACTCAATCTGCGGACAGCATGCTGTTTCGTTCTTTTTGAACTCATCAGCGCAGCACAGAGGAAATGAGGCCGAACCTGATAGCAATGGAAATAAAAATTTCCAATCAGGCCCGAACGTACCTTGCCAGAGTGCTCAAACTGACAAGTCAGTGAGCTCTGCATAACGCAAACAGCAAAGGCACTACCCCACGCAAGAGTGCTCAACTGCTACAAGAGCAGGAGCGAAATACTCAATCTGCGGACAGCATGCTGTTTCGTTCTTTTTGAACTCATCAGCGCAGCACAGAGGAAATGAGGCCGAACCTGATAGCAATGGAAATAAAAATTTCCAATCAGGCCCGAACGTACCTTGCCAGAGTGCTCAAACTGACAAGTCAGTGAGCTCTGCATATATATATATATATATATATATGCTGTTTGCGTTATGCAGAGCTCACTGACTTGTCAGTTTGAGCACTCTGGCAAGGTACGTTCGGGCCTGATTGGAAATTTTTATTTCCATTGCTATCAGGTTCGGCCTCATTTCCTCTGTGCTGCGCTGACGAGTCCACAAAGGACGAAACAGTTCTGTCCGCAGATTGAGTATTTCGCTCCTGCTCTTGTAGCAGTTGAGCACTCTTGCGTGGGGTAGTGCCTTTGCTGTTTGCGTTATGCAGAGCTCACTGACTTGTCAGTTTGAGCACTCTGGCAAGGTACGTTCGGGCCTGATTGGAAATTTTTATTTCCATTGCTATCAGGTTCGGCCTCATTTCCTCTGTGCTGCGCTGACGAGTCCACAAAGGACGAAACAGTTCTGTCCGCAGATTGAGTATTTCGCTCCTGCTCTTGTAGCAGTTGAGCACTCTTGCGTGGGGTAGTGCCTTTGCTGTTTGCGTTATGCAGAGCTCACTGACTTGTCAGTTTGAGCACTCTGGCAAGGTACGTTCGGGCCTGATTGGAAATTTTTATTTCCATTGCTATCAGGTTCGGCCTCATTTCCTCTGTGCTGCGCTGACGAGTCCACAAAGGACGAAACAGTTCTGTCCGCAGATTGAGTATTTCGCTCCTGCTCTTGTAGCAGTTGAGCACTCTTGCGTGGGGTAGTGCCTTTGCTGTTTGCGTTATGCAGAGCTCACTGACTTGTCAGTTTGAGCACTCTGGCAAGGTACGTTCGGGCCTGATTGGAAATTTTTATTTCCATTGCTATCAGGTTCGGCCTCATTTCCTCTGTGCTGCGCTGACGAGTCCACAAAGGACGAAACAGTTCTGTCCGCAGATTGAGTATTTCGCTCCTGCTCTTGTAGCAGTTGAGCACTCTTGCGTGGGGTAGTGCCTTTGCTGTTTGCGTTATGCAGAGCTCACTGACTTTTCAGTTTGAGCACTCTGGCAAGGTACGTTCGGGCCTGATTGGAAATTTTTATTTCCATTGCTATCAGGTTCGGCCTCATTTCCTCTGTGCTGCGCTGACGAGTCCACAAAGGACGAAACAGTTCTGTCCGCAGATTGAGTATTTCGCTCCTGCTCTTGTAGCAGTTGAGCACTCTTGCGTGGGGTAGTGCCTTTGCTGTTTGCGTTATGCAGAGCTCACTGACTTGTCAGTTTGAGCACTCTGGCAAGGTACGTTCGGGCCTGATTGGAAATTTTTATTTCCATTGCTATCAGGTTCGGCCTCATTTCCTCTGTGCTGCGCTGACGAGTCCACAAAGGACGAAACAGTTCTGTCCGCAGATTGAGTATTTCGCTCCTGCTCTTGTAGCAGTTGAGCACTCTTGCGTGGGGTAGTGCCTTTGCTGTTTGCGTTATGCAGAGCTCACTGACTTGTCAGTTTGAGCACTCTGGCAAGGTACGTTCGGGCCTGATTGGAAATTTTTATTTCCATTGCTATCAGGTTCGGCCTCATTTCCTCTGTGCTGCGCTGACGAGTCCACAAAGGACGAAACAGTTCTGTCCGCAGATTGAGTATTTCGCTCCTGCTCTTGTAGCAGTTGAGCACTCTTGCGTGGGGTAGTGCCTTTGCTGTTTGCGTTATGCAGAGCTCACTGACTTGTCAGTTTGAGCACTCTGGCAAGGTACGTTCGGGCCTGATTGGAAATTTTTATTTCCATTGCTATCAGGTTCGGCCTCATTTCCTCTGTGCTGCGCTGACGAGTCCACAAAGGACGAAACAGTTCTGTCCGCAGATTGAGTATATATATATATAAGATATACCCTGAGCAGGAGTGTGTATGGAAATATACACCAAATACAAACCGAGGACGAAGGCTGAGGTTTGTTTGATGGTGTATATTTTCCAAATACATATACACTCCAGCGAAGGGTATATCCGATTTATACCTACCTCAGTCTGCTTGCTAAAAGGAGTATTATATTAACGGTATTAATTTCACTCCCATGGTGTATATTATCAGTCTTTATTTCTCCACAGCGGTGTATATGACCAATATTCATTTTTCTAGTTATTCGGGTCGAACTCGAGTCAAGTTCTGGAAACTGATCGCCTGTGGCCAAGCCATGGAAGAACGTTGGTTTAAACAGACTTGCACGAAATCTCACCTGGGAAGAATGCTGAGTAACTGAAAGTTAGATTGGGACATTAGTGCGGGAGCACCACCGAATCGTTCAGTGCATACAGGTCGTTTTTCGGCGCTCGACGTCCTCTTCAATGAATGAAACAATTAGCCAGGGAGCGCTCTGCGGAGTAGATTATTTTGTGTTTGAAACGGGGGTAATACCATACATGGTACTACTCACTGATGCATACAGACGATATCTTGCGCAATCTCCTGACAACATGCTGTTTCGTCCTTTGTGAACTCATCTTACAATATCAATACCTTGCTCCACTCTAGTTCTGCCTCATTCACATTAGTTACGTTCCTGCATGGTTATTTCGCTTGCCTTCAAGCCACATCATCGTGACCCAGTTCAGTGTTATTGCGCTGGAAGCCGAGCTTCAGTGTAAAGTGTAAAGTGTCCCTAGTAATGTTCTGACTCGTTCATGCGTGCCCAAACGCGCCCTAAGGCTTTCACAACAACAGCAATTCGATTATTCGACACGTATTTAGGGCGTGCGATGCCTTCGAGTACCCTCTTTCCACCTTCCATTTTAATTATCTGTCCGCTCTTTTCAACACTTCCGTCTTCACCCTCCATCCATTTTGTACGCGGTATGGGCCTTTTGAGACTTCCCACAATCCTGTTCATTACATCATGCCAATTCGTGAGCCTCAACAAAAGTTGAACACAGCACACTACATTCCAATAATTGTTTCGACATCACTAATATAAGAATTTTCATCCAGCGCATGCGCCAAGAGTGAGTAGCAACTAAATAGAGCGGTTGTCAGTTGACAAACCCTCTTCTAATTACATTGCAATACCAGTAAATTTTAACCATAACAACTGAAGGGAACTAATTCGGAACTAAATTTTATCGACAAACCTGCTTGCTCCCACGTGGAGCTCAATAGAACTGATGTATTCGAAATATTAAGTGATGCAGCACACTATAAAGAAATGGATCGCGAATGTGCTTAGGAATCAGCAAGGGATGTCTACTTTGCGTATTGGTTTTCTACTGAAGCCCTCATGCGGGTACTACACTGTACCATGCATAATCTTAAATGCATACATGTACACGTATACCAAATAGGCTAAAACAATGTAAAACAGTTGGAAGAAGGTGGAACACATAAGATCTAGCTGAGGGGAACACATTACTTGCACATATTGCTTCAGGAAGAACTGTTGATGCCGAACACAATCGATAAAAAGACGTAGAAAAAATGAAAATACCCAATACAAGCATAGCTAATCGTTCCACAAAAACATAATACAGTGGCCGTTACAAGTCTCTAGTAAACTTACTGAGCCACGAACGCTTTAAATTTCTGTCTTCCGTTTCAGCCTCCTCCATTGATGATAGCCCCCAGCCATACACTCCTTGTTCTGCCTTTAAAACTGATCCGCTATGATTTTGTTAGAGGCCGCTTAACCGTTGCATTTGTTCGAGTTGCATCTTCATCTGAGCTTACTCCGTTTTCATGGTCTGCTCCGGGTATCCATGGTCCGTTGAATGCTGGCCAGCTCCTTCAGCAATGCTGCTTGCTCCTTCTTGGTTGCTTCTAGCTCCCGTTGAAGTTTCGTTTCCTCGTACATCATGCCCTTGATTCTCTCTTGTACGCGATGCAGACTGTCTGGAAAATATATCTCTCTGCAGTTTAATATGAGATGTCCAAGAACTCGCTGGCGAGATCGGCACCTATCTTCCATTGCTTTTTGACGGGTTATTCCCCTTTCGGTGGGAGGATTGTCGACTAAGAGAAACTTATGAACGTGCTTCATGACGGGCGATTGCTGCTCCAAGTCTGTTCTCACCCTGAAATCCGCTGCGGGTTCATCATGCTCAACGCAGTTGGTACGAATAACACTGGTGTAGGCCAGCACTTCAGGCTGGAATATAATGCTCTTCATCATGTGGAAAGCATCCTCCTCCTCCTTCGTGAAGCGAGAGGATGTGACAAACAGCACTTGATTTATTCCTCCGGTACAGTTGTTCGCAATGCGAGCAAGCTGATTGAGGACGTCAACAGGATTTAGCATTGTAGCGCCGATGCTAATTGTGTCAACGATCTTCAGCACATAGCGAGTGCCTGCAAAATGAACCGCAACCAGCTTGATCGGCGTTCCGATCGTCTTGGAGATAGCTCTCGAAGACTCATCGAAAAGATTCTCTTTACCTGCCAGCACGTTCGCCATGGTGGATTTTCCCGCTCCTGTTCTACCGATAAGAACAACAACACGATCGGGCTGGTCATCCGGCATAGGATCAGGTCCTTCTTCGTACAGGCTTACCATGGTGCTATCACAATCGGCCATTGTCACTGCCAATTGGTCTATCTTGGCAGCGAAACTAGTCTGTACGAAAGGATTAGATGTTTTAAAAAGACTGTTGAACGACGATCTTTGCGCATGTTCTTCATCTTATACCGCATCCGCGGTGAATGCTGCTGCACTCTTACAGTATGCATGGCATGGTCATGCCCCGTGCGGCGATGCTGTGTGCATAGCGATCGTCTGCATGAGTTGCAGTGTCTGCGGTAACAAGGCTAGAAGTGCAGGGGCAAAGCGACTTTGAATGACGATCACCGCCTGGCACTGGCACTCAACAGAGACTCTGCCGAGAAAACGTTCCATTTGGGACGAGTTTAGCTGTGAAAATGTTTGTAAGTGCATGTTGCATGCTGCTGTATGAATATTGGCCACAGGTTTCAGCAGAGTAGCATGAGACATTTGCATCGATTCTCTAAGAATTTTGTAGTAACGTTACTACAGACAAGGAAAATGGAGCATTCCTTTCTCCACCGCAAATCATTGTCTGTGAATTTTTATCCTATTTCTGTGTACACCCAAAGCACGACGTCAGGTGCTAGCTGTCAATTGTTGACAACGAAACTGACACTTTGCTAGCGCTGCGAAGGGTGCACCGTGCACGGGCTGTATTGACAAGGACAGAATGAATTTTTTAACTGTACTCGCACATGAATGTACAACATAATCGCTAGTTCCTGGAAGGGTATTGAGAACAACGCACTCAGCCCCACTGTCGATATGTCGTATACGTGATTTTCACCTCACTCCATATGCACCCACAGTCTTTGGCATGCCTGCCCTCCCTTAGTGCTGTATATGTATAGGATATACCCTGAGCTGGAGCGTGTATGGAAATATGCACCAAATACAAACCGAGGACGAAGGCTGAGGTTTGTTTGATGGTGTATGTTTTCCATATACATATACACTCTAGCGAAAGGTATATCCGATTTATACCTACCTCGGTCTGCTTGCTATAAGAATTATAATTATTAACAGTATTCATTTCTCTCCTATGGTGTATTATTAACAGTATTTATTTCTCCACAGTGGTGTATATTGCCAATATTCATTTTTTCCTAGAAAATAGAGAGAATATACACTGGCTGAGGCTCTGGGTGATGAATGGGGTGTATATTAAGGTAGATGTAAGTATAGAATAAACACCGATGTCGCAGTGTTTATTAGAATATAAAACCGCTATAAAAACCGAGGCGTAGCCGAGGTTTTTATAGGCAGTGTTTATATTCCCATTAACACAAGACAGAGTTGTTTATTCTATTCATACCTAGCTTTGTTTTTGGCCTGAAAACTCCTCTTGGAAATGAATTTCTTCGCCGTCTGCTAAGACATTGCACAGAGTAGATTTGCCGTATCCCGTCCTACCGATGAGAACTATCCTCCGGAGTTCACACGACGTTCCACTCTCCGCCATGCTTTCCAAAGATATTCCAGCCCTTCGGAGCCAAACTGATCCCGTTCGGAAAGAAGCGCTGGACATTATACAATGTATCATACTATGCAGCAACCTGTCGTGCTGCAGCTACGCGGGGGTCCCTTGCGATGGTAGAGCCGCGAGTCGGCAATTCAACGGACTTTGGCGGTGCGTTGACAAAGCGTACGCGCAAAATATCTTCTATACGAGCCAGTGAAGCGTAAACAGGTTACTGGCGAAGTATGTGCTAGGAACACCTTGCGTAGCTGCATACACTTGCTGCAGCTGAGGAACGCAGCTCACATCATACCAACACAATGCATCAGATTCTGGTGGCGCTGTTCTCATGTGAGTGAGCAAATCCCTGACCACCGCTACCTGGCTACGGGCACATGATAGCGTTGTGACCGTTCTGTTAGCATGACGTTGACCCATGCACAACTGTCTGGAACTTCAACTAACTTTTCCTCTCAAGAAGGTTGTCATTCCTGGATATCAGGAATTGGTTCACGTCACGTGCTAGGCGCATGCACAACAGTAAAGTTTTTGATTTGGTGTACAGCTAGCAGTGCTAATGTCCTGCTGCAGGTACGGATATCTTGCGCAGCTAATACCGTGATGCCCGATTATGCAAACGGATGTCATCTCAGCTAACCTCTCCACAGCAGGCACAAAGCTCAATGACTGGCTACGTCAACGTGGCCTCATTCTGAATGAGACAAAGAGTCATCTCCTAGCAGTGTATGCCGGAAGCAAACAGCCAAAACCACCGATCAAAGTCACCTGCGACAAAACACCCCTCCCAGAAGCCTCCTCAGTCAAGTATCTCGGAGTGACCGTGGACAACACTTTGACATTCAAGGAGGACATTGATAAAGTGCCAGCCAAGATGGCTCAGAAGATCGGAGCACTCTTGCGCGCACGCCGCTGGAGCCTCAGTGAAGCTGCAAGGGCACGGTACGTGACCTCCGTAGTACTACTACTGCCAGACGCCATACGCCTCGCTCTCTTTCAGTGGCTCACTGTCGAGTGCTGAGAGGAGGAGGCTGCATGTTCTGCTGAATCGAGCAGTCCGCACTGTCTACGGTGTGCCCATGCGACACTCGGCGAACCTTTGCTGACCCGGCTGGGAGTTTTCCAGGTGTCAGAGCACTTCCACCAGAACACCTTAGCTCTTGTGTGGAAGAGCCTACACGGTGAGCCATTGCAGTCCGTCACAGAAATAATGACTCCACAAATGACCAGAGAAACCCGCCTTCAGCAGCAGGACGGACTCAGTCTTCCAGTCGCAAGAACAAACGCTGGCAAGTCGAGGCATACCTTCAACGCTACAGGTAAATGGAACAGATTACCTGGAGACGTCCGCTCCAGCACAACGCTGGAGACTTTCAAAGCTGCAGCAGTACTGTACGCAATTGCTCATTGACTGTGCCTGATGTATTCATTGCTACTTGTAAATACATGCAACAGGAGCAAATGCCATGTTAGACTATGGATCCCTACCATTGATCTCCAGCTGACTATCATTTCCAGTGCATACATATTTTTTTCTCTCCCTCTCTTCTTTTTTCTTCCCTCTTCGCTACCTTGTCATTGGGAAGAAATTCCAGTCTGGATTTTGCGAAGTAAAACAAAGTAAAGAAAAAAATGCATTCCAAGCGGAGACGGGCAACTACTTGACACGTGACCTCAAAGGCACTACACAGCAGGACCGCTTTGGATTGAACGGGAACGCAATGATCTACAATCAGCACACATACGCCGTCGGACCATGGTACCGTCCCGGCCAGAGAAATCAGACTTCATTATACAATGATTATAATAAATATTATGTTCCGCGCAATCTGAGAATTCCAGATTGGCTTCGCAATCTACAGCGCCTGGGCTCAGATTGCGCTGAGCTGCCCGCACAATCTGATTGTGCAGGCAGCTCAGCGCGATCTGAGCCCAGGCGCATTCTGGGGACGCTGAAACGTTTGTTGCACAAGACCAGGCACGATAAAACCGCGTACCTGAGCTTCTGCGAGACTTCTGGCCTGGGAGCACACCCAAGTTTGTGTGGTGCAAAATTCCAGTATGTTGTTCGTGCAATCTGTGGATTTCCCTCAAAACCTGAAGGGCACAGCGACTCCATTCGTATGCTATCTATGGCCCGATTAATCATCATTATTTTCCCTGTAAAGAACATGCAGAGTACAGCGAATCCGTGTGGGGCTCTATCTGTGTGCGCATCTGTGGATTTCTTTGAAAAAACATGAAGAGAATAGCGAATCCGTGAGGGGGCAATCTGTTTTTTTTTGCAATCTGTTACCCGATTTCACTGAAAAACAAAAAAAATGAGGAGCACAGATTTCCGCCACACGGATTCGCTGTGCTCTTCACGATTTTCAACGATATCCACACATTGCACCTACAGACTGCGCTCCGCATGAATTCGCAGTGCCTTTCAGGTTTTGAGAGAAATCCACAGATTGCACGAACGGCGCACGTGAATTTTGCACCACAATTTACTTGGGTACCGGTATACCGCTTGTGCTCCCAGAAGTCTAGCAGAAGCTCAGGCACGCTGATTTACCGTGCCTGGTCTCGTGCCACAAAATATTATCGTGTCATCCCAGATTGTGTGCGCAATCCGCGTAATTTGGAACTTCTCAGATTGCGCAAATTCTCAGATTGCGCGGAGCAATTATACAATGAAGAACATGATGACATTGTATATATAGTAGCACAGGGGATTACGGTCGTGGTCTTAGCATCACACAGCAAACACTGCGTACTTGAGTTCGGTGCTACTTTATTCGTTGGGTCTGATTTCTCTGCTCCGAAATTGAACATCTGTACACAGGTGCTAGTCGGCGTCAAATGTACCCTGTATTTCCACCAGCCATCTGACGTCTCGACTGCACTGCTGACAGTATAGTGATACTTCCAATGTTCAGCGCTGCGTTTGCTATCCTGTAGTACGGGCAAGGTGAAGGTTGAGTTGATTTTCGTCTGTGGCGATCCATGATTCAGAGATCACTTGTCGTGAGAGGTACCAAGCTCAAGTCCTGCTTGGAAGCTGAAGGATTTTGCCAGCCGTGCTGCGACCCACAGTGAATTGGGAACTCGTGTTCGTGGGGAGGGGGGGGGGGCATGGATGTGGCAAATGGGATTTCAGACTTTGGTCTCTGGTTGGTGGATTTGATCTATCCTCCATCACCATTTAGGAGCCGTTCTTGTCAGCAGAGCTGCGGTAGAGATCATCCCCATCTTCCATTACTCACTCCCTTTTTACAGACTTGCGACTTCAGGAAGGAAAAGGTACAACGATTTAATTAATTAATAAAAGAAGGAATCTGTATTGTTCCCTTTCCTACACTACTCCCTCCAAGCTGTCATAGTAGTCTCCTCAAGTTTAGTATACATGTAGATGTCCGTGGTCCTAATTGGGCGACAGAAGTCGCACAGATTAAACCAAAAAGAGCAACACTGTTCTGTCTTGGGATGAGGATATTGTGTCCCTGTGGCATTACCGGTATTTAAATTCGAATAACAAGCAGAGAGAAAGACCTAGGAACTACAAGTTACG